TAATTAACACGGATGACAAATATTAGACATTAAAATTGAATTAAAGTATAACATAAATACAACTATGTTTTTATAATGAAAGAAAATACACATCATAATTCGTATACCTGAAGGCTGTGACTTAAATTATCTCTTTCCGTAGTAAATGACAAATTTATTATTTATATAACTTGGTARTTATTAAAAACAATTTACAATTTATTAACAATAAATAACATTGATTGATGGTATAAAATCTATGATTGAATCAATCATATTTTATAAATACTATAAACATGCACTAGGATCAAGCATAAAAAKAACTGTACCTAAATATTTGGTTGTTTTCGATGACTGCCAAACAATGTCAATGGCATAAAATCAAGTAGCCTAGCTATGTCTGCGCGCTTATTATAACCGGTTCTTTAATATTTGATAATTTGATATTATAATAATATATAGGTTATTGAATTTTAAAAATTATACTCAGCATATAGCAATTACCTATTTAACATTGAATTGAATTTCAATCACAATCGTAATTTTATTCTTTGTGAAATCCGTCCTAAATAATGCGTTAAAACGTATAATTTGTGCTTAAAAAAAATTATTTGAATAAGACATAAAGTTATGTTGATAAAGGTGTTTTTAGTTTTTTAAGTAATTGAAGATTATGCATTAGTATTTTTCTTAAACATTTAAAAATTTATTTATACATTAGAAAATATGCTTTATATGTTATATTATACAATGTACGAAATAATATAATATGTTTCCTTATAACATTWAAAATAAATATAATTATCGAACATAAAAGCTCTGGCGAGTATTAATAATTATTATTCTATAAATAATTTATAGTTGAAAATTGTATCAATATTATGAAAACACGTAGTACCTTTTTAACCAATTTAAAATATTGAAAGTTTTTTCTCTATTCACTTATGTTTAACAACAAAGTATACACAGAGGTACTACGCCAAATCTTTTAAAAATGTATTGTTAAACAAATCGGTGAAAAAAATCTAATCTGAAATATGAATTGTATCCAGATGTTTCTATAATTATCGTATACTATAATACTTTTCGGAGACGCTTTGATAGTTTGTCTTATATTATACAGATACACTATAGTAACCTAATAAATTACACTAAATAATAATAGATACATGCATATATGTGTATCAAATTACGACAATTTATGAATCAARCGCCATTACTCATTTGTATAACATGCAGATGTCGAGTAGAAAATAATTTTTGCAAACGGCTCACGGGTGATTAACTATAAACGAAATCCTTCAAAGTTCAACACAATTTAAGCGAGTGATTTTTTTTTTTTTTTTGCAAACAGCACTGTAATATTATTATTACGACAGCTTTCTATTCCGAACGATCATTATTCGCCAACCTGGCTCAGTAGTATGGATTACCTTTACTGACACATTCTGGCAATCCCACACCAGATGATTGGCCCAAAGCCCTAAGGAGACCGAAAACGTTTACCCATTAATTATACGTGCGCACAATAATAACATGATCRATATAATACGCGACGTCTAAGAACGGGTTTCGTTGTACATATATAACATAATATTATACGCACACAGAAGAGTTGTGATTTTTCGACTGGAAAGCCGGAAGAACGTGACCTGACTCAGCGCGCGCGGAAGTATATCCGGCGAGGGAATCGTGGAAAACAACCCCCGATTGTTGATTATTTCGTGAATGGCAAATTACGGGAAACGGAATGGAAAACAACGAGATGGTATGGGAACAAAAAAAAAATAATAATAATAATAGAGTAAGAGAAGAAAGAAAACCACTATATACTACCCTTATTTCGTATGCTACTCAGCGGCTCAAGTTAATGCGACAAGTTTTCCCCGGATGACGATGGGGGTAACAAAGCAAAAGAATGTGATTGAATATTTTCCAATGAAACATATATTCACCTCACATTCTGTTATTATCGTTTATAACCATTGTAGTAGGTAGGTATTGACATAAGAGCAGTAAGTGTGATTTCTGATTTTAACACAACGACTGACCTTTGATGTACGTCGTAATATTATTTCTCTCAATGGCCTACTGCAATGTTCAAACAAAAATGCGCTGATTACTTATTTCCAATTCCATTTCCATTTATAATATAATATATGATTTCAATTATTACATCAAGATGCATTTCAGCTTATTTTAAATCGTGGTTGTAATTTCTAAAACAATATGTACTATACCTATTTATAAATAACATTTACTGAAATTTGAAAATTATGCCAACTGAAAATATGATTTATGGACTTATGGTTACTAAACAATAATTATTATAATTTAATGTAAAAATAACAATTTAAACTTTATAACAATAAAATAAATATATATATATATATATATCACCTATTATATAGGTGTGTTTATATAAGACAAACTTAAATATCTCGGTGTAACTCTTGACAAACGACTCACGTGGCGGCCCCATATTTCATCCAAAGTCCAGCAAGCTTACCAGCGCATCTCAATGCTTTATCCCATCCCAACAAAAATTCAACTATACAAAAAAAATTCTCCCTCCTAATTTATAAACAAATTATACGTCCAATTCTTACCTACGCTTGCCCGGTATGGGGTAATTGTGCATCCTCGCACATCAAAAAAATGCAAATTGTCCAAAACAAAGTCCTCAGAATAATTGCAAACGCTCCATGGTTTGTCAGAAATGCAAATCTCCACAAAGACTTTCAAATCCAAGATATCCAATCTCATATTAATACATTAGCAAAAAATTTCCACTGCTCTCTTCCAAACTCATCAGATGCAATTCACTATAACCTCACCCAACTCATCGTCGATTAAAACGAGGTCGTCCTCATGACCTCCTACACTAAGCCACCTCTCAACATCCAAATCTTCACCCTACACATGTGTTTCTTCCAGACCATTCTTCGACTTCAGTTACTTAAAGTTATACTATTGTAAATATAAATATCAGAATATTATTGTAATCTYAAAATTACCAATTGTTAATTAWCCTTAGTACTTTAAAAATATTTTATTATTTTAATTATCATGTTATAATGTTAAAACTATTATGTAAACTGTAAAATATCCATAGATTTAGATAGCCTTAGGCTAGGAATGTCTTATGTTTAAAATATAAAAAAATATATATATATGTATAGGACAAACGCTTAACACTAAATTATACGATATATTAAAAAAAATTCTAATATTTCATAGTCTTATGAATAATTTGTCTGAAATAAAATATATTTAAATAAAAATATTTTTCATGTTTAAAGATTAAAAAACATAACACCTTAATTACAAAATATGACTATTTTATAGGTATCTAAATTTATCAGTGGTGTATTATATCGGTACTTCGGTGACATAAATATTATATTGTATATTTTATCTCAAAGCCTAAAACAAATAAATAATARTCTCATTTCCTTATAACCCAAGTTATTATATCTTCATATTCAATGTATTATATTTCATTATATGCATAAACATTATAAATATATATTATATGGCGACTACCTCTTACTATTTTTTATGGTTTATGATGCCGTTCTATGTGAAATGTAATCATTTTATTAGAAATAACTTTCTTAAGAACACAACATCAAAGTTCGAGTTTAAATAGGTATTGTAGACATATTTAAATTAATATTATTCAAATACCTTATTAAAATATTATATTGTATTTTAATATTTTTCAAGATAACAACGATAGTTATTTGTTTTGTTATATCTCTTGTGGTCGTAAAACAAATTTAAATTTGAATCAACCAATAAATTCGATAGAAATTACCGTAACAAATACATTACATTATTTYTTTCTAAGTATTGAATATCCATTCGATATGTTATATTAATAAAGTTATTATTTAAACAACCTTATCTGATATTATCTTTATTATTTTAATGAGTTATAATACAATCATTTGTCAACAAACCAAATTACCAAGGATGGTAATAAGTACCATTATAAAAGGATAAGTCACGCCCGAAAGAGGAAATGAGATCTATGTGATTAAGAAAATATTCCGTTCTAGACGCATTTACATTTATCTGATTTGAAATATTACATTATTATTACATCGCTTTTCTTGACTTACCAACTCCCCATCAAATATTATTGCTAAAGAATGATTCCTAAGAACTGAGAATTTAAAATAAACAACGTAATTAGACTGGATAAATTATTATCTAGTAAATATTAATTAAAAATTAAATTACTACGAATAATATTATAGTAAAGAAATTGTAATATTATAATATTTTAAACGCAACCCTGCATCAGRTAATATGTTGATGAACTCATCACTTTTATTTTTATACATATTATAATTGAATATGGGAATGAAACCAAATATATCTACAGATATTTTGCGTTTTACTGTTTTACACTAATGTGATACCTATGCATTAAAAATTCGATATATTTAGAGGTAGGTATATGAATTATTTTATCATTATCCAAATTATATCATAGAAAATATTAAAACAGACTGCATTTTGTAATTTTATTTCAAGAATAAAATATATTTACAATCATACAAAACATTATAATATTAAGTTCGTAAATATTTTTAAAAAATCCTCGAACTTCTTTATWTWTTTTTTGATCCATAGAAAACTAGCAAAAAGTACCGCAAAAGTCGTGTATGTAACCTCGACATTTATACCATATACTCGGTGAGTTGTTCATTTCTTCAAATGATTGTGTTTGTCAAAAATATACATCGGGATCACGGATAATTATAAACAACTGATGAGTATCGATTTTGACTTCTTATGCTTTTCTCACGAKTCTCTTAAAATCAATGATCTAAATCGTGTGCATTTCACGTGTGTAGTTTAATTTTCTAACGACATTCATCCCAAGCTACCATGTCTGACCGTAATTTTATAGCTATCTATAACGTGTATCTATCATCCATACCGGCATCCTACGATCATCCAACAGAGATTAAATGTTGTGGGGGTGAGCGTAAATTTTGATGGTTTACCTTTTTCAATTGGAAATCCATGTCGTGTTATTTTGCAACGTGGACGCGTGTGTGTCGACAACTCGCAGAAAGTCTCTGCTCTTAGGGTCGTTGTGGACTGCTGCCGATTGAGACCCAAACTTTGAAGATTTCTGGTGAAAATTTCTTTTAGATTCAACTTTTAAAAAATAATAACCAACCGAATATCATCCGGATATTATCATGTGAAAAGTTCGAACGACAAAAACAACGCGCGCTCGCACACGCCACGACAATATTACGGGAGATAAATTCTTGTTTATTACGCGGCCGTTGGTACGCGGTCAGTCATCGTGTGATCGGAGACATAATGAACCGGACCCGACGGTCGGGAAAGCTATTTATACGACGGCAGCGGTCGAGACGGTATGGGCCCGCGAAGCGGACCATCCGGTGGCCCGAGTGGGAGGCCGTGTAAGTATACATATATYATCGTTATCGTAATACCGAGTTATACAGACGGTATCCACTGTGACCAGTCCCGAGKTAGAGGTAACCACGCTGCCCGCAGGGGAGTCGATCCGGCTCGGCGGTAGACGAAAGAGAAAGTGTGTTTTGGGTGCGCACGTGTGTGTGATCCGATGCGTTCGCATGTGTGTCTACTACCTACATGCCTATGTGTGTGTGTGTGTGTGTGTGTGTGTGTGTGTGTGTGTGTGTGTGTGTGTGTGTGTGTGTGTGTGTGTAAGTGTAAGTGTAAGTGTGTGAATAAGAGAGAGAGAGAAAGAAGAAAGCACAGGAGGCTATGGCCTTCGAAGACCTCCCCGACCAACGACCTTGAACCGGAGCGCCAGTTTTCAGTGGTACATCGTCAATCTTCTGAAAAATATCGGATTTCACGGACGTGATTATTTTATCAATCATTATAATATTGTCACCAACATACTGCAGTTATTTAAAAAAAATTATTACTGTCAGCCAAAAAAAACTAATGCAATGTATACGATCGATTTTCGATTGAACGTTTTTTTTTTTTTTTGTGAATAGTCGAGTTGGTAACATATCAAGGCAATTTAATTCCATTTATCTTCCGATATGAATAATAGCTGATTGTTTATCAGTTACATTATATTTAATATAGTGTTAACTCTAATGTGACTAGAGAGGTATCTAAGTAAATTTTTGATTTTAGAATTTATTTTGCTCYAGAACTGTTAGTCTCTATGTATGGTTTTAAAATTCAAGAATTCTCTAAATATCATGTTGTATACAATATTATATTTTTGATTAAATAAATAATGCTTAATTTTTCAACTACAATAAAATAACGTTAATAACCTTATACCTTTTAATGACGAAGTAGGTAACCAGGTTTTATATTTTATAGGAATAAAAAGTTTAATAAATTTTAATTCTTAAGAAAATTGACATCGATAAAATTGTACAAAATAGTAACCATAAGTGTTGAACAATAATTTTAATCATATACATTATATGATATAAAACCAGTGGTGGAAAAAACATAATAAAACATATAATTTCAGATGCCCATATTATTTTATCCAACCACATAAAGGCAAAGAAAATATATTGCCTAATTTAACGACCAAAATATCATCATGATATTGTTACTAAGATTTTAAAAGAATATTATTCCAACATGTGGTAATAAGTATTAAGTAATAACTAATAATCGAAGTATTCGTAAGAATACTTCAAAACACTGTATACTACATTATTAATTACGTAATAGATACCTATTTTACAAAATAATTTTTATGATATCTGCGTTCAAATGTTCTCATTTCTCGTTAAAATTATTATTTTTTGTACACCATTACCTWCACTTAGCTGAGTGTAAGCAATACTATTCAAATTATTATTAAACTATTAAATTGCTTACCCACATAATGTACGTGTCGATGAAATACTTAACAGGTCATGATAAACTGTAAACTACATGTAAAGCAAAAACATTTTTAAATAACGTGACCTAACATTTGTTTGAATATATTATATCCACTGAAACTCTGAAATATATACCTATATACAGTAAAACTAAAAAAATATTATAGATGTAAGGTACCAAAACTAATGACTTGTAGGTTGTAGGCAAGTACATAATATAAAATTACCAGTGAGAGGCTAATTCCTAAACAACGCGTGGATAATTTTTCAGAATAATAACACCTAAAACTTGCAAAGGTAAAAGTATTATTACGGCTAATAAGTCATACTATAAAACATTAAGTACACTAAAATATCAACATTAATGTCATTTTACAAACAATAATCAATTGTTATTTTGTAAAAAAAAAAACCTTCCACCGTTGTTACATAATAATAATAATATAACAACATTCTCAATTACATATTACAGTATGTGTTATAAATGGAACCCCGGGGTGTGAACAATTTTATAACCATAGGTTTTTTCAAAATTTATTGTCCACGCATTTCTTGTAGCTGCAAAGTCGTAATTTTATCTCGGTACATTATCATATGCCAGTCATAATTATTATCACCTATATTACTTATTACGCTAATATTATATTATTATGCGAACGTCTTAAACATATTAACAGAATGACAATGAACATTTTTATTCGCTCTTTAACGAATGTTAGAAAAAGTAGCTTTCGGTTTTTACGAGTAAACTGTGTAATTGTTTGTATAGTGATTTTATTATGCAGGTATGTAAATATCAAAGTAATAATTAGTAATGAAATATCAACTGTTAGGGAACAGCCTTAATTTTAATAATATAATATTACMATATTGAAAATTATTCACTATTTTTCGAAAATATAGTAATGATTTCGATAATTTATTAGACCGCAGCACAAATAAGTTTATAAAYCCATATTAAAAAATAACTGTTATATGTATCAAAGAATAAATTATTATTTTATGAATTATGAATTATGTTGATTCACTCACAATTATTTTTGAATGTTTTGAGTTTAATTACTTAATATGTATTAATATTTTTGATAAATTAAAAAAAAAAAACATCAAGTTCAAATTTTCAAATGATAATCCTAGGTTTTTTAATGTGGTTTTAAAATATGATTTTATGACAATTTATAAATTAATAAAATAATGAATTAATCTGATGACAATATATGTTACTGATGTCTCTCACATTCTTTGAATAATAACTATCAATAAAACTGAAACAAAAAAAGAAAATTGAAATCTACCAGCATACCTATAATCAAACAAATTTCATCCCATAAGAAACTCATAAGTATCATTTTTTTAAGTCTAATAATTATTATTTTATTATTTTTAATGTGTTATTAAAAAGGAAAACTTTTTTTATGAATAAATTAAGTAWATATAATAAAATTACGAGGATGTATAGTAATAATGATCCAAGTTCACCCAACAACCTAAAATGATACCAAAAAAAATTTTAATTTATAAAAAATTGATTTTAGGCATAATAAATTGATATATAATATCAATACAAAAAATTTAAATGTGCTATACATTAGATCAATAGTATATAAACATCAAATACTAACCATTCTGAATAATAATGTTTTAGCATTTCGAGTTTATTAAATTAAATACATGCTCATATCATCATGGACATTGAAAAACGGTTCGCGWATGCAATAAAAATGTATTGCAATGTTCTCGAATACTAGGAATAAGTACCACAGCTAAGTGTAGGAAACAAAAGTGTAATAAAGTTTGAATCAAGATTCAAATTGATAAAAATGTATAATATGATGTGAATAAAATATATATTATACGCTTCATATTATTGTTCGATATACAATGATAATAGTAACGGAATTTGCAAGTTTCTATAAGTACTTATGTTTTTATATTAAAGCAAATCTATTGTTGGATGTAATAATACAACGATATTAATTATATCTAATTTATCTATTAGATAAACACATAATATAATCACACCACTCGTATTATTCACTCAAACAGCATGTTATTTTCATCATTGACTGTTAACGGTCATGATTTTTTTAATTAGGTACTGCCGAGTTAATCGTGTACAAAAACATGATACGTGCTTAGGATTTAATAATATTATTGTATAAGTAGATTTTTTTTTTTTTTTGATCCGACAATCACGAAACTGTATCATAATACTCGTTTTTCGGGTCACAACAACATTTTCCCGTATTTTATTAAAACAGAATAAATTTACATCATTTTATTGTTCCCCAATGTTATAGGACAGATAGGTCAGTAGGTTAGGAGGAATATAATACGTGGTTGACGGTCTTCTTAGAAAAAAAAACATTTCAATATAAGAGGTATATAATTAATAAGTGGTGGTGTTCCGACTTCCAACAACACGTTAATTAACTATAGTATAGTAATACTATAATAATATTTAACGTTTAATACGACTAAATGTTAGCTGAAATACATATTAAATTAAACGGCGATTCCTGATAAATATACCTACCTAGGTACTAATATAGGTAAACGCTATTAAGATATCATAATATTATAAATCGCGTTCTATTGGATCAAATACTGTAAAAATTTTAAATAAAAAGAAAATATTAAAGAAATTTGGAAATACGAATACCAAAAACGATGTGTTGGCTAACGTTTGAATCGTTTTTGAACATAATATTATGCTATTGGTTGACCTATTAGTATTTTTCAGACTTATTAATGTCAATGTTAAGAATGATGTAACTTGAAATTTAATTAAGTTGATTATTTATTATTCGTCACGAGAAAACCTCGAAACATATAAATACACGATATTGTATGCATTTATTCAAATATGTACTAAAATATATGATGTACATACACTAGTAATATATTACGTTGAGAAATACAATATGACTGAAACAATTCAATAATTTTCCAAAGTTTGCAATTTGCACACATCTATAATATATTTATCGTCCATATTGAACGCGATGGGTGAAACATCTTATTACACTCAATACCGCCAATATTATTTTGTCAATTATCCCAACCTATTGGTACGTATTTATATATTAAATATACCAGAAATGGGTCAACAATAAAAATTTTGATAATTTAATAATTGTAGGCACGCGTTTTTTTACATATGAGTACAGTGTATACATTATAAATATTARCAATGATAAAATTAAATTTCCAATAAATATTCAAAATAGATTCATAAATTTTCTTCAATTAAATAATATGTATTATTTTACTTATGAGTGGGTATAGACCAAATTGTGTGTGTGGTGTTTTTCTATTACGCAGGCAAATTGTTGAATTCATAGAACATACCAGTTTCAAAAATTTCAAATATATGCGTGCTTAGGTCTCATCCTAAAACTACTACATTTCTAAAATCATTCTTATATAAACAGTACATAAACGTTAAAGCGAGAATTAATTTGTTGG